TCGAAGCTGGAGATTTGCCCATGTTTTGCCAGTGTTTTGCCGTTTGTTTGTTGATAAATTCAAAGTTTTCTACGTATAATCAGTACTAGCGCTACGCGGAGCAGATTGGCTGGTTCTGCGTGTTTGCATGTTGTTTTGTTTCTGATTTTCTTTTTTCTATGAATTCTTCTTCTGCTAACAACGCACTTGCTCAAAATATATGCAGAGAAGAGATTGGTGTATTGTTGTTTTTTTGTTGCAGCTTTCTGGGTCCACCAACGCCAGTTTCCCAAGAGCAACAGATTCTGGTGATAGGGCTTGAGTTCGAATTTGGCACCCGACAACGCCATCAAGGACCGTCCTCCTGCATCTAGGTTTGTCTTCATACGCAAAGTTGATGATGCATGTGCGCCCTAGACGGTGTCTATGAACTTCTGATGATCAAAGTCATCCTTAGACCAACACATAGTTTTTGTTACAATTGTCATTGCCGTAGAACCAGCTCTCCACGGGAGGGGAAATCGGTATGGAGCTTGTTCGGGGGTATCGTATTGTATAAAATGGTACAGTTATTTTATAATAGTAGTAGTATTTCATAGTGCACCCAGCAGATTTGGCGATACTATGTAGGGATACTGCAGGTGGTACCATTTACTGTAGGCATGGAAATTTAGTTGTGGCAAATGTGTGGATATGGGCAAAGAAGAAAAGTGATGGATATATTTGTAAAAAATTATTATTGTTGGGTGATTGATTCCGCTTTTATTTACTGTATCGAACAGAGATGCGGGACTTGTGATCTGTTGTAGGTCAGCGCAATGCCCGTAGATCCTTTTCTCCCCACCAGCAGGCAGTGGGAGCTTTCCAGCCACCAGGTGCTTATATGGGGATTGGGTATGCAGAGAGAGTCAGCAGAGGTTCAAGAAGATGAACAACACCAGGGGTGGTTTTTCACAGTTCCAACTGAGGTAGGAAGTAGCAAAGGAGCGGACAGGAGCGGAAGAGCAAGAGGAGTATCATTTGCAGGTGAGAAAATAATAGTAGTAATAACTGAAACATTAATCAATTTTAAATGCTATCTAGCATATAGGATTGCTGGTGGAATGTTTGGCTGTAAACGTCAGGTACTGGGAAGCAGCAAGTTAACAAGAAGTTTGAACCATGAGAGGCATCTGACAAACAGAAGTTGATCTAGTCAGAACCAGTGGGTCCAGACTCTTCCACAAAACAGTGGTTAGGGAACTTGGTCCTTAGGATCATGGAAGAAGTGATGGCAAATGCGGGGTTGAGGCACCAGAGTGCAGCGATAGGCCGTGTGTTCCATTTTCAGCAGCTTTAACCACTCCTCTTGACTGAGAGCATGCGCTGGACAACCTTTGGAAGGTTGGTTGGGCCCATATGAAACTGGGAATGAATCCTGTCATTGACCTGTCGGCTATGCTCCCGTACTAGCTGCGCATTATCCTCCAAGTGTTGCACCAGGTTCCAATGTTCTCACACCTGGAACCCCATCAAGATCAGCTGGTGAGAGAGACAAGAAACCCACAGAGTGGGAGAGCTGCCTCCCACACAACTGTAGGTATTCTTCCGGCAAGGGGGCCCGTTGACAAGACAGCAGTCCTTCCAAGAGTCCTTGGTAGACAATGCATTGTCAAGAGCAGAAGGCCCTACAGAGGTGGCCGGGGACACCCTGCAGGGAAGGAAGGGATGGATCACGGACACCTTGAAACAGGAGGAGGAAGTTCTTGGTGGACTGGTCCTTGGCCTACTGACATCCTACGTGCCACAGTGAGGCCCCTCTCCGGTTCCAAATTGGTGCTTCTCACCGGCACTGGTCTTGCAGTCTTGCCTTTCTTCAACCCGGCCCCTTCCATCCTCAAGGCCTGGTAAGCTTCTGCTGACCTCTGCACCAACTACTATGGATGGGTCCCTGATGAGATTGACGTACACGGTGATGAGGCTGCCTTGGCCAATGCATTGATTCAGGGTCGCCTCAGAATCATCAGTGATGGTCATACAAAAATGAATGGAACAAGAGCACAATATCATTCTCTTGTTCTCAGCCCAGAACAAATGGATTCCTACAAGATGCAGATACTTAATGGCCAACTTGTGGTCACAATCGAGCAACCTCCAATTGGAATCAATATTAAAATATCAGACAACATCATCATTGCAAGAAACTCGGACTTCTGCATGATACATGATGAAAACAATTTTGAACCAAAAATGGCATTTGTCACAGTACCTATATGCCAAGGTTGTCCAAACGTAAGAGAATGTCAAATGTTCATTCAATCTCCTAACATTCTACTGCACCCATCAAGGGTTACTGTCAAGCAAAAATTTCCATTTACAGCGGGCTTTGCGCTCATGGTCGAGAAAGCGCAGGGTCAGACGCTAGACCGCGTGATACTTGCCATCTCCAAGTGTCAGCACACACTCTCCAACTTCACCTATGCATGTTTATATGTTGGAAATAGTAGGGTAAAGAAAGCAGAACATCTGCGATTGCTTTTACATACACGACCCAATCCTGTGCTACAATGGAGCACACTCAACTACCTCACTGGGTTAAGGCGGGCTAAGAGCATCAAAGCATTTTTCAGCGGATTCAGGAAAGATTGTTCAAATTGGAAAGACGATCCTTGGGACCATACTAAAGCCTTGGATCAATTTGATTAATCAAATGAGCTGTTCCAAAAACTGTAAAGGCAAATACCGTCCAATTGTAATTAGACAAAACATACAAACAATGATTCACTGCCATCCCATTTTCCTTTTGATTTTGTTTGAAATAGTAAAAGCTCTTGCAAGCCAAATACCCACAAAGGAAACAGATCCGGTTAAGAACTCTAAAGTGCGTTCAGTCAAATGCATGGGATACTCTTGAGTTGAGTCAAAGATTAAGCCATTGCAATAAGTGACAGCATGGCAATTTGTACCATCACCGCTCTTCGGAATAAAAAGAACTAGGTCATATTGCATCAACATCTCAATCGTTTTCTGTTTTGGAATTCCATCCAACATGCGCTTGACCTCTTCCAAAGATATGGTTCCAATTCCCTTTGCTGACAGCTGCACTATGTTTGAAATTTCTGCAAGTTGTCTCCTGGCATCTAAAATGCTTCTGCGCTGACTTATCAAGCTTGAGGTAAAAGAGTACATTTGCCAAACAGTATCCAAGACAGAAGGCTTTGTCGTTTTGTTGAAATGGAAGTGGACTCAGAGACCTGCCGTTGCTACCAAACTTGCAGAGGCAGTGGTCAGGCACCTTGTCCAAATTTGAATCTCCTATAGGGATAAGGTATCGTTCCTGATACGGTCCTTTTGCCTTTGCTAACTCTCCTTGCAGCTGACAACTGTACAAATATCCTTTGCTTAGATATGGCTTCAGCCGTTCCATCCTGCAGCCCTTGATGATTGTCTCCTTCTCTTGCGGACCACAATAGACAGTAAACTTTGGATCCTCATTGTCCTCTTGCTCTGTTTCATAACGAAGCCCTCGAATCTCATCAGGACAATACAATGGATCGTCTACATCCAACATATCAATTTCATACTTTTCAAAGAAAGTCTGAAGTGAAGGAGAGGTGTAAGCATGACCATAGTATTCATTGAGAGTTTGTGCATCTCCTGTTTTGCCTTAAAGAGCTGCTTCTTCCGTTCTTCCAAAACCCCATCATCATCTTTTTCCTCATCAAAATCTTCAATGAAAGCTGCAGCTTCAAGAATTTTTTCTGTGATCCTCGTACCATCGCCATCCTTCATTGAACGGTCCCAATGAACCCTCTCTTGAGCAACTACAATTTTGCTGTCAATATCAGGAAGCAAGACACCCAATTCATCTCTCATTGTTTTCAACAATTTCTTTTTTTCATCTCTCATCTTCTTTTGCTCTTTCAAAGATGGAGGCCTTGGTCCGATTGGATGTCGTAGATTGTACGGCATGATTGGTACACCAGCATGCTGCTCTACTTGTGCTCTACCAATATCCACTACTCTGGGGTTTGCTTCTTTTGTCGCATTGTTATCTCCTTGCAATTTTTTCCCACTACCTTTTTTGAGCTGCACCTTTTTCTTCATAGCACTTTGCTTTTCCCTGGAAATTGCAGCACCCACAGCTCTTGAAGCAGGAACAATCATTGCTGCCTTTTGCATGGAATCAACAGCAGCTCCTCCAGCACCCGCAGCAACCTTCTTTGCCTTCTCTGGGACTCTCTTGTCGCCATCATGCTGCCTATCTGACTGGTGCCTTTTTTCAACTACAAAATTTGCTTTGTTACTTGCAGCGGCAACAACCTTTGTAGTAGTTTTCTTCAGTCTCCTTCCAGCAGCACTAGTAGCAATTGCAGCCTTCTTTCGCTTTCTCCTTTTTGCAGTAGCAGTAATAGTAACAGTGGCAGCAGCAGCAGCAGCAGCGGGACCAGCACTGGCTCCTTGAGCAGCGCTCCTTATCTCAAACTTCCTTGCCTTCTTATTGTTGCCATCCTGGCTATCTGATTGTTTTCTTTTTTCAATGTTTGCAACGTTTGGAGCTGTTTTTGGTACAGGAACTAGCACAGCATTGGCTTTGGTGCCGATAGAAGCACCAACCTTAGCAATCTTCTTTTGCGTACTCCTTGCAATCATAGAAGTAGCATCAGCAGCTTCTTCTCTTGCCTTCCTCCCAGCAATGTTCTCATCTTACTTTTTCTTTTGCTTCATCCGCTTCCTTTTACTTTTTGTCCATGTCCTGCGTTCTTCCTCTGTTACAGAATCATCTCTGGCACGTCCCCCTACACCATCCACTTGGCCCTTCTTCACCATCTCTCTATGCATCCACAGCAATACAGACAACTTGCAGAATACAATGAGGAGTCTAACCGCCAATGGGCAGACTCGCTTCAATATGTAAGAAAGCAATTTCCGTCTGCCAGCAAATCACAGCCTAGATGTGGAGTTCCTTAGCAACCAGTGGAGGAGAACGCTCAGGTGACAATCAACAAAAACTGAAAAACAACACAAAACACTCCTCAAAAAGACAAAAGATTCCAAGCCCAACAAGATATCACAATCTTCCAATCAAAAGGCAAGCACAAACAAGCGCTGATTCAAATAGTGCGGCTGTGTAGCACTCGCAAATTGCTGTTGCCAATTGGTGCTACAAACACACTGTTGTCATTGCAAAAAACATCATCGGCCGCGTTGTTGTTTTTTGGTCACACAAATTATTGGTACAGACAGACAGACAGTCCATAACAGTTACAAAACAAAAACAGTTCTCAACTATTACAAATTGTACCCCCAAGAGAACCCTTGCTGGGAGCGAATCATCCAAGATCCAAAAGTACCATGCGCCCGTGGGGATGTACGTTTTTTGTGTACGTTTATTACGGCGCACCTTGTAGAAAAGCGGCTCGCTTTAAAACTTTCCGGAATCGGTACCGTAAACTTATACCGATTAAAATTTTGTTGTGCACCTTTTGTTTTTGTTTGGCTTCCATATTGCCAGTTGGTGCAATGGGAACAGTTGGTTGTTGCGCCAGTCCATTGTTGCGCAAACTGTAGTTGATTGTCATGTTTGTGTTGTTTCTGTATTTATTTTGGCTGTGTGGATTGAGATTCGGGATTTGCCATACATCTGGAC